ATTCCTGTCATCTATTATTATCAATGCATCTTGGTTGCGTGTTTGATCGATCTCCGACTGTAAAAGTTGGTAGAAAGCATCTATTTCTTCTTCTTTGGCTCTGGTTGTTGGTGCATATATCTGAATGATAGTAGTATTCACTGGACTTCCTTGTAAGCGTATGGATATAATCCTATCACTCACAATGTTGTACTTTAAGATGGATCTAGGAATTACTTTTTTAACTATGAAAGTAACCTCATTTTTCCTCACCTTTTCATCTCCGGAGTAATATACCATATGATCATCCGACTCAAAATGCCCCATGCCAGTCCATCTCATCTCTCCAATGCCTAGTATGTCAATATTTATGCATGTCAGTGCTGCATAGTATTCCAATATATGAATATATCACAGCTTCTCTATCTATTCGTTTGTTGATTGGCACTTAGGGTGTTTCCAACTCCTTGCTATTTTGAACAAAGCCGTGATTAACATAGGTGTGCATAATAGTTTTAATTCACAAAACTAATGATGTATGTTTATTGAAAGTATTCAGACAGTATAATAGTTTGTAAAGCAAACCAACATCTTCTGCATTGTGTAACCAAATACTTAGTATTAAATACCATATGTGTCTTTTCACATTAATCTTTATGCTCACACAAACTTCCAATAAATATCTACATATTAAATAATCCAAAACCCAAACTGATTGACTATTCAGTTGATTCAGACTCATGGTGACCCTCAGTGTCTGAAGATGTAAATCTTTACCAGACAATGCTTTGCATATTTCTCTCAAAATAGCTACAAACTTTAACCTTGTGGTTAGTAGCATGACTGCTTAACCTACTGTGCTGGATAATTAATAACTATGCATGAATATATACAAGTATATTTGTCATTTGGCTTCAGAAGGATTTATAACCTTGAAAACTCTATGATGTCATTTTACTGTGTCCTTCAAAATTGTAGTCAGTTTGATGACAATAGGTTTATTTTTGGTTTTAGTACTAAGTATATACCTCTTTTCTGAAATTTAAACTATCACATTTATACTAACTCTGGACCTTTTGATTTAGTAGGATAAGTGCCCAGAATCTTCATTTTTTAATGACCGCCCTATATATTTTGATATAAGTAGTCCATGATGTGTATTTTTTAAAGAAATAATTAAAACCAAACATTCTAGTCCAGCCAATATCAACAATCCAGAAACCTTAAAATGTTGTTAGCATACTTATTTATTTCATAATTCATTTGTACAAATATTCATTTAAGTACTTCATATATTGCTGTAGAGTGTATTCCAATGCAGATAGATTATAGGGTATGATAGAGATGTACTATAGGATTTACAAGGCAGAAACAGACTACCACATCTTCCTTCTTCAGAGTAGTCATCCCAACAGCCTGGTTCAGACCTCAGAGCTTAACCACTTAAGCAATAAACATCAGTGATGTAAAGTAAAGCAGCTAGTGAACCGAGAGAGGATAATTATCTCCCCACATATACCTCCAATTGTCTATTTAGTCATTCATTCAATATTTCCCATTATGCCAAATCTGCTGTTAGACATCGAAGGTGAATAACGCATACTAACTGCCTTCATGAGTTTTCAGCTTGATGGAACAGACAGATAAACAAGTTGGAAATTAAAATAGGGGTTCGAAATACAAGGAGGATAGTGGGTCACCTGTGAGACTACAAACCCAATCCTAAAGGGAAAAGGAAAGTTTATTGGATAAAGTTGTTTCAAAATTGTGACATGAGTCACATAGGTTATATTTAAGTGAAAAGGGCACAAAGATTACTCAAAACAATCGAAGTAAAGTGGGAAGAAGTTGCTCAAAACCTTTAGCACAGTGAGACTAGCATGTGTACTTATAAAAAGATGGGAGAGAGGGTGAGGAGGAATAGTAGTAAAGGGGTAGATTACCCTCTCAAAGGTTAAGGAGATTAAACTCAATCTGATATGAAATGGAAAACAAAAAAATTCAGGCAAGACAATTTTAAAAATGTCATTTATGCTTCAACAATGTATTTCTAGACATGATTCTGTGAACGGGTTATATAGGATCAACTTTGAATTAATTGTTGGAATTAATCATTGCACATTTGAACAAACCTTGAGTTTCTCCCATTCTCATCCTTGATGCCATTATTTTTTCTGTTCACAACCTGGAATATTAAATGAAAGATCCAGCCTACAAGACTTCCCTAAAAACCTGTCATTTCCTCTTGAAATTAGCCCTTTTAATTCTGAACACCTTCCGTAGGGAGATCATGCCAACTTTTTCCTTCTCTTGGTATTTGGGGCAGGAATTGTGCATACTTTCTAATCAAGTTGCCATCAAGTTCATTGCAGCTAATAAATTAAGGGAGGTATAGTTCTGTGAACTCTAGAAATATAGAATCTTTATATTTTATTATTAATTTCAATATACGTATGGTATTATTAGGGAGCTCTAGTGGCCTAGTGGCAAAAAGCTGCACTGCAGTCCTGAAGGTGTAAGGTTTGAGGTCACCAGCTGCTCCGCAGGACGGGCAGTCTCCTCCTGTGAGATTAACTGACTCCGAAACCTGCTGGAGGGTCAGCTATGGGTTGGTTTCAACTCTTCAGTACACAACAACAACAACAACAACACAGCATGGTGTTATGATTGATTGCTATTGAACCAGAACCGATCTATAGCTAACCTTATAGCAGGTATTCAGAGGCAGCAAATCACAAGGGAAACATTGCCCTTTGGGATTACAGCAAAGCTTCTTACCCTACGCCACGAGAGCGCATTAGTAGCCTCACACACCTTAATAATCTATTATGTTTATTTTAAAAGTTCTCCCCCAAACCCAAACAAACAAACTTACTCTTGCCAGGGTGATCCCAACTCATGGCTACCCTCCATCTGTTTTCCTATCCTTTTCCATGTTTATGGGAGAAGATTGCCTCTTTTACTCTTTTGGAGCAGCTGGTGTATTTGAACCTCTGACCTTTTGGATTCAGCCAAACATATTGCCCACTACAAAATTTGGGCTTCTTAGAGTTATTGAAGCCCATCAATAATACTGTTTTTTTTTTCACTTAAAATAGCTTTTTTAAGGCTATATATTAGATAGAATAGATAAGAAATAATTTCTGACAAAATGTGCTCCTTTAGTGTGATATAAATCTTTTAACTAGTGATTTTTCAGGTAAATTAGATATAGCAATTAAGCAACAATGACAAATTTCATAGTTTTCTCCCTTATTACTTTCTTTCCATAATTAACTAAAATGCTTTCCTCAGAAAACATCTTTTGATTATCCCTACAGTCACGCTATCCTGGGCACTGAAATGTAATTTCCATTAATCCTGCATTACCTTATTTTGATAACAACACTGATAAAACTGTATTTTGCTTATTACAGGCCAAAGATGTGGACCTTGGAGCCAATGTGTCTTATCGGATAAGAAGCCCAGAAGTGAAGCACTTTTTTGCCCTCCATCCATTTACAGGCGAACTATCCCTTTTAAGGAGTTTAGACTATGAAGCATTTCCAGAACAAGAAGCCACTATCACTTTTCTGGTGGAAGCCTTTGATATTTATGGAACGATGCCACCTGGTATTGCCACTGTTACAGTGATAGTAAAGGTAAGCTATGCACGTCCCTTCTGCTGGCTCACCTGCTATGGCTTTCTCTAAATGCCACTTCTATTTTTTTATACTATGCCTATAAAAGATTTTGGGAGCAGTTCATAATACGACAGTAGTACCAGGCCTAGGACATATATTTTTGAATGTGACATATTTTATTGAGAAACATCTCTATTACTTAACAAGAGATTCTAGCATTGACTGTAGTGATTTAAAGTCATATTTTCTCTGGATTATAGGTTTTATTACACAGCACCAGTACTAAGAATCTAACTGAAATTATAAATTAGAGATGCATAAGCAAAAGACATAAACAGATATTGCAACTTGAACATCAAAGATCAAGCCCACCCTCTAAGACATCAGAACCAGTATGTTTAGTTTTATTTAGAAACCAACATCTCTGGAATAAAACAATCTTTGAAGAAGATGGAATTGAGCGTAAATTCTGGCTTCACCATTTTATAGATCTAGGATTATGGGGAAAGCAGTTCTGGTGGCCTACTGAGTAATTCACTTTGGGAATTAGCTATGATTTCAACAATTTCAACTTTATTAAGTGTAACATTAATAGCAATGACTTTGAAATATTTTTTTAAAAAATATCTCTAGATTTGTGATCTCATTAACATATGATTATGGCATACATGTTTTTTATAAATTTTTTAAAATATTATTTTTTTGTGTGTACTGTCAAATCAGAACTGACTGGTACAGGAGGAGATTGACCCTCCTTTTCCAGCAAAGCATCTGGTGGATTCGAACCATGTATCTCTGGGATTGCAGTGCAGCTTCTTGCCACTGGGCCACCAGAGAGCTCTCTGGGATAGATGTTTTCAACATCTTAGATTTCTGTGATTTTTAAAGCATGTTTTAAATAAAAGAAAGTCAAGAAAAGACAACCAATTTCATCGTTTCTTAAATATGAATGTGTGCAAGGATCATTTGTCCTGCAGGTTCAGCCTTCAGATACCATCTAGGCTAGGTGCCTAGAGGAGCTAAACCAGTTCTCTCTCTCATTTCCATTAAATTCATTCTGACTTAGCTCACCCACCAGTGAGTGCCCATGGCTGGACACTGCACAGGAAGAGGTTGCCCGTTTTTCTCTCGTTGATGAATTTTAACCACATTAGAAGCATGGTCTTTCGATTAGCAACACAACTCTTTGAGGGTACCAGAGCTCCTTTATAAATAAACACAAAAATATTCCTAACTACAAAAAAAGCCTAAAAGAAAAATATATTCAGTGAATTTAAGAAAATAAGAGAGCATAAGCATGTGTAAGTTTTTAATGTCTATGCATAGATTCGTGCAATATAATTAAAATTCAGTATTTATCATGCACATACAAGTCTATCGCACAAAGAAATTAGTTGTACATTTTGTAGTCATTTGGCATTGGTAGAAATGTATCCCTAAATGGAATTGCAATTATTTGACTGAACAAATCTATTATTTGATGCTGGATATTTTGCAGGAGACCATGAGCACCTGTGTCGTTTAAATTTTGCTGCTACTGCATTTTCAAGTTTTTTTTAATTACTATAATACCTTCAAATTTCTTGTCATGTGCATAAAGCTAATGTTTAAGATGTTGCTGCACACTTTTTAAATTGACGGCCGTGCTTAGAAACACATTTGCTGTCATTTGCAGCAACGTGTTTAACAGTGTGTCCTTTAGCAGTGTTAATCTATGATAGATTGGTAAGAATTTTATGTCATTGGGGGCTTTTTGGTTACCCAAGACCTTTAGAAAAGTGTACATCTGCCTAGAATTAGGGGAAACTCTAGAATAACTGCAGTTCTGAAATAGTACTTTGGCTAAAGAGTTTTATCTTTTACAGCATAATAAATACACAATTTTATAAACAACTTTCTCATATATGCTCATTTTTATTCTAAAGTGTGAATGCATGATTGATCAAAAAAGAATCCTGTTTCTTCAAGGGTTTTCTTATTTGCTTATTTAACTGATGGCTATCTATCTATCTATCTATCTATCTATCTATCATCTATCTACCTACCTATCCTATTATCTTTTCTTGGCAATACAATGTTGACATGAAAACAACATTACAATAAATTTCAACAATATATACTTGTAGCTATATTTATTATATATTTCCTATCTTTATCATGTTTTCAAACCTATAGTTACTGAGTTTGGCTTTAGTTTAGACAATCCTCTAATCTGAGTGGTTCCTAATGATTTTTTCCATTACATTCTCTTCTACACTTGACCTCTAGCTATCTCCTAATATGGGCGTTACTGTAATTCCTTTAAAAAAGACTACCTTGAAAAAGGACCTTCTTTCACAAGTACCCACAATTACTTACATCTATTTTATGTCTCTCCATTTTAAGATATGTATCTAGTTCAGAGGTTAGGAAATTTATCTGGGGCTAGTTTAAGCTCCAGCACTTGGGAAAAATAAGCTTGCATCTGGATCTGTTTTGCTTTTTTCCTAGGGGTAGTTCCATCCTCAACAGCTATGTGAGCATCTCAGGACCTTCCAAATTGCCCTGCTCAAAGAAACAAGGATGGGAGGGTTGAGGTTGGGAGGATTGGAGTAGTGGTATATTGTTAGAATGATGAGGTGGCTTGATAGATTAAACATGTAGGGCATTTTTTACCCCTGTCTTCTGATGGCTGATCTGATACTGATATAATTGGAATAAACTGTGATTGCAAATGGTGGCAGAGTAGTGAGATTTGTTGGAAAGGTCTACACTCACTGTAACCTGTAACACTGGAGAAAAAAGTGTTAAAGAAGAGAATGAGAAACTTTTGTTTTCGGGACAGCATATAGAATACCCGTTGATTAATGCAGCCATTAGGTTGCCTGAAGCTACCCCAGGAAAAGTTATTCATGAAATATGAGGTCAGTGGACCTAACTCCTGAGGAGCTGGCTAATTGGGTGCACGCAGAAACACAGAAGGATATGGAAAGAGCAAAGCTTACCATTCTTTGGTTTCTGCTATAAGCAGTGGCAGCAAGTGTGGGGGAAAAGAATGTGGTAACTAAGATTGATAATATTAACCTTGAACAAAGTCCTACCAGGGTAGATTTATGCCTCTTAACCTCAGAATCAACCAAGAAAGGGACAGAAAAACTCATTCAGGGGCAACTGAAATTCCCCCTCCTACCTTTTGTCATCAAAGTAGTCCGGGATATAGAGAAATAGGATCAATAGAGTATTGTAACTAGAGCATATGGCAGAGAGAAAATGCATACGTTTGTGGGTCCTTATCAGCAGCTATGTATACCAACAAGTCAGAACTGACCCATAGCTGACCCTCTCACTGGTTTTCAGAGGCAGGTAATTTCATGAGAGGAGATTGCCCGTCCTTCTCCAACAGAGCAGCTGGTGGCCTCAAACTACATGCCACTGAGATTGCAGCACAGCTTCCAGAGCTCCCCATTACTAAAATGAACTGTAAGAGTGACAAATTTAGGGCCAGGGTCTGTGATTCTAAATGTTGCAAAATGGAGGTATATGTTTAGCTTGATGCAAGACCCATAGCTGCTTATAGAACAGTTGAGAATGGCACTATAAGATTCAGTTACACAACAGGATTAGCTTGATAGATTTGGTACAATCCTTCGAAGGTAAACTGCCCCTTTTTCTTTCTAAATAATAATTGCAGCGTAAACTGCCCCTTTTTCTTTCTAAATAATAATTGCAGCGCTCCAGAGGGAGCAGTTGATGATCTGATGATGCAAACCATGTTGGAATGTCTTTATGGTACTCAGAGCATGCATCCAATGATTAGCCCTCTTACAGAGATATTGACAGCAATGATATTTAAGGGAACCTTTCCCACATAGGTGCCTCAGGTAGTCTGGCTACTGGAAAACAAGGCAATAATTCAAAAAGCCATGTCAGGTCTAGTGAAATGACCTCCCCTTATGAGTTTTAGGGACACAAGGGACCTCAGGGTGATTCATAGGCAAATGGGAACAGACTATGGGGAAAAAAAAGATTTCCACTAACCGTGTGGAAACTTTTAAATAGTTATTAAAAAATGAGATGAATAACACAGACACTGACGGAGTTGAGACAAAGGTTCTATGGCAGCACTAGCAGAGATTGAGAGGGCCAGTGAAGGCTCCCTCTGTTCCCCCAGCATTGCAAAGTCCTAAACAAGGCCCAGGGACTAGGCTACCAGAGCACCTTTTGTGTTTTTCTTCTTTTGTTTTTAAATCTTCAGTGAAATAAAAGTTACAAGTCACATCCTAGGAGAATTCCCTTTTCATTCAGTTAGGCCTGTGATGGTTCATAGTGTTAAATTCTACCTTTAATCTTTGTAATTATTTAGTTTATCAGGATCATGGGGAATCATTACATAACTTCTATGTCATATGCATGACAAGGATGTGGCACTAGGGATATAATTGCCAAGGTGAGATGAGTCTTGGCTGAAAGCAGAGAGAAACAGAACTTTGTCTACTTGTGTTTTATTGACTATGCAAAGGCATTTGACTATGTGAATCACAAAAATTATAGCTAACATGGAGAAGAACACTTCTCCAGAACACTTGTTCTCCAGAATATTTGATTGTACTCTTCTAAAATCTAAACCTAGACCAAAAGGCTGTTGTACAAACAGCAAAGGAACACTGCATGGTTCAAAATCAAGAAAAGCATGTGTCAGGGATGTATCCTTCCTCTATGGTTTTTCAGTGTATTCAAGAGACTGGACTTTATTAAATAGAATGGATATCATTGACAAATGGAGAAACATTGAAGTTGTTAATGATTTCACCTTACTCAGACCTTCAATCAGCACCCATGGCACCATAAGTAAGTGAAGCACAAGATGAAGTGAATTGGGAAAACTTGCTGTCAGGACCTCTACTGACAGCCTAAGAACGTCGATGTTCATTTAGAGACTAAGATGCACCTAACCCAGGCAATGGTCTTCTCAATTACTCGGTATGCATCTGAAAGCTGGACAATAAATAAGGATGGAAGATAAAGAATTGATGCCTTTG